CGGTCTTTTCTGATGTGATTTATATATTTATTTTAAAAGACATATTTTGGTTACCTGTCGTCAGAGCCCGTCTCTCAATTACAAAGTCATTTAGGTTGTAACTCTGGATGAATGACGCAGAGGTTTATTCGGAGATGCAGACAGAAGTGACATGTGATGACGGCCGACAGCTGATTCTGAACCATACGAGTGAGCGTTTGTGTCGATTTATGTGTCGTCAGGGGAGTAAATGATAACCGCGCGAGGCATTCTTCTTTTAAGATGAGCAGTCATACAAATTATAACTCATCAAAAACTACACTGAAAATAAAAAGGCTAGAATTTAAAAACAATTTACACCTTTTACCACATTGAGTTAAAGGCCTCCTGTAACAAAAGTTTAGACATTTTTAAAGAGGCGTCATAATAATAATTGCCACATGCTGTTTTCATGGCTGTTTTGTTTGATCTGTTTTATGTGAATCGTATGTGAGCAACTTTAACCCGCTGAGGTGTCTGACTATAGGGGACATGGGCTTGTTAGCCCCGCTGCACATTGTTGAGCCACTACCTTATACTTGTCCAGGGAGAATGTAGCTCTCAGCCATTTTTAGACTGGGCTGGCAATGTGAGCTGCAGTCGTGTCTGATAATGGAACTGAGCTCTTGACAGAAGTGTGAAGACTTTGGTAAGATGATTTACCGTTTCTCCCGAGTGGATATTTTTATATGTTTTGTTGTGTGTGCCCCGGTGTCTCACAGATGTACATTTCTGAAGATCTGAGGTGTGTTTTAACAGTTTCTACTTACAAGTCTACTTTCTGTGTTAACACAGAGCTCATTTAATTAAGTGTGTTTTTGTCTGACGGAGCTGTTACCGTGTCTGAATTAAATGAGTCAAAATGGAGTTGTGAGGCTTATATTTTCCATCTGTTCTCAGTGGTGTGCTCTCTCTGATATGTCAGGTTGTAGCATTGTGTGCATCCTGAACCTATGTTTAGCTTTGTGCGTATGTGGTTATGTCAGCCAGTCAGAGACCCCAGGGCTCATGAGGGAATCTCCTCTCTCGTTCTGATCTTCAGAAGGAAAATATCCCAGACAGGTGCAGAAAGCAAGGGTCTTTGGCCCACAGACAAGCCACTTCCTCTGCCACTCATGCTTTCAATTTAGACTCTTACTCACTGAGAGTGACAAAGCTCGGCTCAGACAGGACACAGGCAGTACACATTCCAGCCCGTCCTGCATTCGAGAATCAGGAACATCCCTTTAGCGCTGGTTTGTGTTTTCGCCCTCTGGAAATCTTCAGCTACAGCGGCGGGGGACATCAGAGCCTGCATACTGAACAGAAAACATGAAGCAGATGATCCATAATCTCAGCGTAATCGCTATGATATGAATTAGGACTATGTGGTGACGCATTTCCAGAGAGCAACATATCAGCTCCCCATTCCTCTTTGTTTATTGGCTCAATTTTATAAAGCATCAGTGCCTCATCTCCTCAAAATAGATGTACGCTGACACAGAGGCTGCTGCATATGTTGCTGGCCAGCAGGGGAAGAAGTTATTATAGTTTTACAATGACAAAAAAATAGACTGTTGCCAAGTACAGCTCCTGTCTACTCGTGCTCTAAGAAGGCTGTGCAGTACTAGTTGTGCTATTTAATAACATAACATTTTAAACTGCAGTATTGATGATTGGCTTTAGGACTCAGACCTGGTGTAAGCTGCCTTGAATCTAAACACCTCTCTCATCAAGTCATAAACAAATCATATTTGGTTGCTTTTCATTATTTTAACTCGTTGATGTTAAAGTAAATGATGCTAACTGTTTTGTGCTCCTTGTCATGACAACATCAGCAGTGAATAGAAACAGCGTTTGAAGTGGCACAGCAAGCTGCTGCTTCTTCTCTTACAGGGAAAAGGATAGGGCTTGCTCGTCAAAACATTTCCCTCCAGGCCTGCACAACTCTGCTGAATGCTACCGAGCCAGAAACACTGGCTAGGGACAACTAGGGAAGTGGGAAAGAGGCCAGGCTGGTAGAAACAGTGTCAGCAGGTTAATAAAAAAGAAATCAAACGAAACTGGGTTTAAAACAAAAATGAATGTGACTATAATGGAAACAGATGTTTTTACTTCTACTAGAAAAAAAATCAAGTTAAAGAAAAATCTGAATGATTGTCCTGTAATGATTGGCTTTGTTGGCAAAAAAGAAACAAAAGAAAACTGTCACGGAGATGGAAGAAACTCACCGCTGATCAGTTTACCTTGTTTTTCTTCGATAGGTGGTTCTGTGAGGGAAAGGAGCTGGAGAACAGCCCTGACATTCAAATCATCACCAATGGTGAGCAGCACTCTCTGATTATTGCAGAGGCATTCGAGGAGGATACCGGGCGCTACTCGTGCTTTGCGTCTAACTGCTACGGTACCGACTCCACGTCAGCTGAGATCTACGTAGAAGGTGATTGCTTCTTTCCTCCTTTTTGACACCTTAATATACCGCACTGCAACTTCTTTATTGATACACACCTTCCTGTTCAATCTCACAGGTGCCTCATCTTCCGATTCTGATGTGGAACCGCACTTTGAACATGTAGCCCAGTGAGTTCCTGCCCCATTGTCGTTATCGTCACCCACCAACAAGAGTTATCAACACTAAACGAAACAAACACTTCTTTCTTTTGTGATTTTTAAAGGCTGCAGAGAAACCAACCAAAGTCATCCCCATCTTTACCGTCATCTTTAAATGAAACCTTCCCTCCAGAGGAGGAGGAAAGCGTGTCATCCCAGCCTGCAGCGGCCCCCGAGGAACAACCAGAGGAGCAGCTCTCGCCTCCAGTGGCTGCTCAAACAGCATCTGAACCTCTTCTACCAATCCGGACATCTGCTGCTATACTTCCAGTCTCAGAGTTATCAGAAGAATCTGTGGCATCAGCAGCACATCCTGCTCAGGAGGAAACATCTGTGCTGTCTGTGCAGGTGTTTCCTGTTTCAACAGGTGATTCAGAACTTAGAGAAGCCCAAGGAGCGTCAGCATCTGTCCCAGTCATATCTACTCCACAGCTGCAACACACGGCTTCAACAACAGCTACGTCACAGCCTTTAAACTCAGTATCATCTGTAGTGCCTGTCCTGCCACCTCCAGCACAAACACCCCAGCCTGAGGTAGAATACCTCAAAGGTTTTCCTTTCACTACATATTCTTTATTTTAGTTTAAGTTTATATAATTTGATCCATGAACCCTTTTTTTGGACTTTTTTTCATCTTCAGAGTCCAACTCCCAACCACAGCTCTCCACAAGGATTAAACGGGCAACCCATTATGGCTGCCCCTGTCTTCACGAAGGTAACTTTTCTCTCAGAACGAGGCTGCTCTGTACAATACTGCTTGTTAAGTGATTTAACTTGAAGCTGGTTTTGTCCCATCAGAGCCTACAGGACCTCATTGCATCAGAAGGCCAGCTGGTGGTGCTAGAGTGTCGTGTGAAAGGGGTGCCGTCACCTCGAGTGGACTGGTACAGAGAAGGAAAAATCATGGAGGACTCGCCTGATTTCAGGATCCTGCAGAAAAGTAAGTTCTTTGCAAAAGTCTCAAGTTTCTCCATATTTCTTTCAATTTTTCTGGGAAAATGGGAAATAGATACAGTGATTTACTGAAACATGCAAATATATATGGAAACAAACTATGTAAAGAAAAACAGAGGGGTCACTTTTTGTTCTGCTCTGTGTCAAGATGATCCCACAATATTGAGTTTGAGGCTCTGGGGAGGCTGATCCATCACTGATTTTCTAGCCAGGTGTGTTTTTACTACATTGGCAGTGTGTTTAGGATTTTTGTCATGCTGAGAAATAAAGCCTATCAGAGGATTTCCAGAAGATTGCAGGGTGCATCAGGCTCTGTCGGTGCTTTTTAGCACTTGTAGTTTCATCAGTTTTGACAGGCTCTACAGCTGCAAACCATGACAGAGCCTTGGTCGTGTTTTACAGATGGCTGTAGACAATCACTCTTGTACTTCAAGATGTCCTCCACATAATTTGGCAAAGATTTGACTTTCAAATTTGGATCCATCACTCCATAATACCCGTTGTCACAAATTTTCACACCAGTTCTTGTGTAATCTGGCATACCTCAGCCTGTTTCCCTTCCTTGAAAATGGATTCTTGATAATAGATGGATCAAGAGCCAAATGTATTTCTCAGGTCTTATGTCAGGTCTTTGCTGGACCTTCTGACTTTCCCATCCCATTCAGGAGCTTTACATAGTTGTTTTTTTTTTTCAATTCTTTTGTCTTCTACATGTCTAGGTTCCTCAAATTTTCAAGAACATAATGCATACAATGCCAAGTCTTTTCAAGTTTTCGACTTCTAGCTCTTTGGAAATCACTTTGTTGGTTTTAAAATTGATTACTTGCTAAGTTATCTGTTACGTGTGGACACAAAACCGGTTCATCCCTCGAGTTAGCTACCTTTTTATGCTTGAATGATTCATAGGTCAGCGTTAAACGACTTTACAAACCTAAAAAACTGTTTTGACTTCTTCTGAAAACAGTCAGGTACAAGGACTGAACTGAAAATGAATGAATACGTAGCCAATGTCCAAAGAAAAAATTGAAATACCTTCAGAAACCCTGGAGAAGTATTGCTTAAGATTACTTACAAGAATGTCTGCCTCTTTAGAAACAAAATATAAAGAAATGAGTGGCGAGTCAAGACATTTGCACAGTACTGTATTAAAAAATTGTCCAAGGGTTAATTTTATGAGCTCCAGGTCCTAAATCTTTATATTGCATTAACAGATTTTAAAGCTCAGATTGTGTATACGTGTATACATCTCTGTATGTGGAATTTACCATCATGAGTATTTAAATGTTTTGGAAATGATTGCTAATAATGAGTCTCCAAAAAATTCATTAACAATAACATGAGCTTCTCCCCCCTGGTTTCATAATGATTTTGATACTTGCTTCTATTTCAGAGCCCAGATCTCCAGCTGATTCAGGTACATATTTCATTCAGTCTGTCAAAAATACAAGTGTTGACTGCACCATAGCAGCTGCCTGCCTGTATACGATGCTGCAGTGTGTACATATTCCTCTGTTGAAGTGTTTATAGTCCTTGGCTCAAGCTCCTGCTCTTCCCCTGTGCATAAGCCAGGGCTGCTTTTCCTTGAATCTGGACCATATAAGGTAGCCTCCCATCCTGTGTCAAATCACCGTTGCAGATCACTTCAAACAGCCTTAGCTGCACGTAGAGTCATGTATCTTTCTTTTCTGCACTTAAACACTTTGAGAAATCGCTGGGGTGCAGCTATAGAATATCCGACTTGATTGCATGCCACGTTTTTTCTCTTTACCTCTAGAGGAAATATGCACTTTGGTCATTGCTGAGGTCTTTCCTGAAGATTCGGGGGTGTTCACATGTACAGCAAACAACAAGTATGGAACCGTGTCTAGCAGTGCTGCACTCAGGGTCAAAGGTAACACCTCTCTTTGGCTTTAAAAGTCAACAGTTTTCACATTTCTATCCTTATTGAAATTTCTGTATGTGTGTTGCTGGTTGTCCTCAGGCAATGGCAGCAACAGCAACCATGTGAGGTCTTCAAGCAGTTTAATAGTGGAGCCAAGTCAAGTTCAAGAACTTTCCCCATCAGCTCCTGCTGTAAAACCTCAACCAGAGGTTGTTATAACCAGCAGCATTAAGCCGCACTCCAGCACCATTCGTCTTGACCCACTCGTCTCTAGCACCTTACGCCTGGACCCCTTAAACACTAGCAGCCTTCGTCTAGACCCTCACAACTCTAGCATGTTGCGTCCAGACCCCCTCCGCACCAGCCTGCCCAATCTGGAGCCCTCCAGCCTGAGCAGCAGCTCCTG